GTTGAAATTTATAATAAAAATATAGTAAGTGGATTCAAACTTTTGGAAGCAACTGTATATATAAATTTATTAAAATATAATAATAAAAAAACAATATCAACAAGTTTATAATTATTAAATCTTTTTATAAAATCTAATATAAAAAGATTAAAAAAATATATACTTGAAAAATATCTTTTAAAAGTTTTTAATAGAAAAGTTTTTTGATTGAAGTAATCATTAATAAACTATTTACTTAAAAAAATTAATAATAAAAAAATTAAATTTTTATAAATAAATAAAATATATAATTTTAATAAAAAATAAAAAAAAACTATTAAATATCTTTTAAAATATTCAATTTTAAAGAAACAAATATAAAAGGTTTGAAAAAAAATTAGAAACAATTATATAAGAATTTTAATGTTTGTTATAAAAATATAAAAAAAAAAACTTATAAAAAAATGTAATAAGAGATAGAATATAAATAAGAATTAAATAAAATAGATAAATAGATATTTAAACTAGTTGAACAAATCTTCAAAATCAATTCAAATATATTAAACTTTTTAATAAAATTTATAAAAATAATATAAATTTAAAAAGTTATATAATTGAAATATTATGAAAAAAGAATCAAAAATAAAATTAAAAAAATAAATTTGTAAATACAAAAAAGATTTTATATTTTTTTAAAAAAGTATGAAACAAGTGTATTTGAAAATTATTGAATAGAAATAAAGATAAGAAATTTGAAGAAAAGATAAAATCAAAATATTAGTAAATATACTTTTATAGAAAAACCATTACAAGTATAATACTATATAAAGAATAAAAAAAGAATAGTTAAAAGACAAAAATTATAAAAATTTTAACAAAAGGTATTGAATATGAAAAAAAATGATTTGATTTTAACCTTGATCAAAATTTTTAAAGTGATTAATGATCTGCAAGCAATAATGTTAATAGTGAATTAATTAGTTAAAGATTTAATTTTAGTGATGCATAGAAATGTATAGTTTACTAAAAGTTTAATAAAGTAATAAATCATATATAACTAGTCTAACAGAGGATTAAAAAAAAAAGAATTTAAATTTACTGCAAATAACAAATTAAAATTAATAAAAATACGATTACCAAATAAAGTTTGTTTCTTTAAGTCTTTTAATTATTTATAATAAATTCAAAATAAAAAATGTTAACAATTTTAATAATAACGAAATTGAATGATTTGTCTAAGAAATTCTTTCTAGTAATTATTAAAAAATTTGACAAAATCGAATTTATTATTTATATTTTCTCATTCGAATTTTTATAAGAAAAGAATATTATCTAATACAACCTCATTTATAAGTAATAGTCATTCTCCGGAGCGAAGAGGACTATAAGGATAATTAAAATATTTCGATATTGCATATACTGCATATACTGTATTGCATGCAACTTCTTTTTTTTTGACAACAAATGAAAGCGTCGGAGTAATATCGTTATAAATCACAAATTAGCCTTTGCATCTTCTATAACCCATACATGTGTTGGAATAGAACAATATTCATCATTATCGACCATGTAAAGAAAACAATGCATAATATGGTATGATACCATTATGATGCACATGTAATTCATATAATTACGGCGATTGACAAATGCTGCATGATGATTCGAAAATATTTCATTTGTTTTAACTTAATCACATTAAATAAACCGTCAACACATGATACACATTCCACTTGTGAAGTTATAATCTTGTTCTCTACTTACTCTGCTATGTCGAATTGCCTTGAATCCTGTTTTAGGGTGAGTTTCGATAAATGTGAATTAAATACAGCATTATTACTTTACATGTTCTCAACAGTTTGGTTAAATTGATACGTTATATTTATTCCTTACAATCAATAATTGAAATAATCAATTTTTTCCAATCATCTATCAATTTACAAAGGATTCTATTCCCATACATTCCATTTTATACCGTAATACTTATTTCAACATTCACTCCTTTTGGCTTACATTTTTTTTGGCAAAACGCCATCCAACCTTAATCCTTAAAGGATTGAGCATACCACATTTTATTTTGAATAATTAGGTCTTTGACTTTTAAAAAAATGAAAATCAAGTCAATTTTGATATTAAGTATTCTTCTTTTATCCTCTGAATTTGTTGCTTCTAACTCGTCTGGAGGAGATGAAAGTGGAAGTATTGCCGATCCGAACCTTTTGAAGCGGCAAAGATCCTCCTCTAGGGGTTCTAATTGGTTCCGAGATGGTGGCGGCAGTGGTTCGA